TACACGCAGATTTATCTTGTTTCATCCAATGAAACACATTTATAAGTAGTCTCGTTCATCAACGTGTAAAAATCTATGACAGGAAAGAAGACGTGTAAGTCTGGACAACAGAGTCATTCTATCATCCAGATTTGAGTTTTATCAATGAATGAAATATCTGCGTGGGAAATGTAGTCTTTGATGTCTAAAATAGTCATTTGTATGCGAAAGTGTAAGTCTTGATGATCGAGGCTTATCACTAGTGACTTCACTAGGGAAGTGGCACGCGTTTTTAATTAACAATGAACTATTGGTTGTAATTAGGAATATCAATTCGCTAAACAATAGGTGAGTTGAGGACTTAACACATTTTTAGGACCAATTTGTGGAGAAAAAAATTATACTTTTCATTCAAAATTTTGTCAAAAATTGGAAGTGAACCGACAAGGCAAGGGATATGATGATGGGTGAATACTACTAGAAAACCACGTGCCCGCCAAGATGTGTCCAGGTGGCTTTTTGTTTATAATGCTAGAACAATATATGTTCAAAAGAACCAGCTCTTTTCTTAAGTGGGAATATCTCAAATATACTTCAAAATTTATGGCAGTTTGAAGTCGAGAAATCAGGGGTGATTTTGTCAACAAAAAGGTCAAAGAAAAAGGAGAATTTTTCCATGCGGATAGTATTGAATCTAAAGACAGGGAATATCATCCTCGTTAAAAATATTTCTTGTCCAATTCCAACCAAGTAACAGAAGCAACTATATAGAGGTCTAAGTTTTACACGGTTGTCCCACTGGCATCCATTTCTTCCAAGATAGCTGCCATATATATGGACTCACTCCACTAATTCATTTGCCATCTCTTCCCATGTTAAAACACGAAATTCAACCTTCTACAACTTTTTCCAGAAATCTCGTTGAAAGCTTTCCAACATGTCGAATGAAAGCCTGACCAATTCTCAATGTCTCCTAAAAAATTCATGAAAATTTTGAGCTACTAAAATTGAAAGTAGACTACTACCGGTTATACTCATCCGCTAGAGTTTGGCAGTTCACAAAACGACTATTTTTAGAATTAGCCTTCCGCCTTTAAGTCTCTCATCATCTCACCAAATCTGAAAGATAATGCAATTTCAGACATCAAATTCCAAATCTAGACCAAATTTTACCCAAAAATAGGCAGGCAAAAACCCCAAAAGGAGAGAGAAAGAATATTTCTAAAAATAGCCTGGACTACATTGCATAAAATGTTTTAGTGGAGTGAATCCATATATTATGTGTGGCGGAAACCGTATCAATTAAAATTGTACCAGAAATTTATGCAAATTTTTCTTTACTACATACACAATATAGACTGTCATAATATCTACGGCTCTCTTTAACACGACTTTAATGCTGTCAATATCAAATAAATTTAACCATCTTTTTAACAATTAGAACTTGCAACAACCAAAGTATTTATATATAAAACAAAAATTACTGCTTAAAGATGGGTTTCCTTGTTTTTTAGAGTCAAATTAAGCAAACTAAATGATATATGATAATATAAGTTTTAACCAATCATAAATGTTCATGTTTGTACAGTCTGGATAAGCAAAAAAGACTTTTTGACCTGTCTTGATCGGCCACTCATCCGAATTCTGTTGGTAATTCTCTTCTAATTAAGCTAATTATGATTTAATTATGGACATGTTAGACAAACTGGTATTTTTCCAAGTCATTAGAACACCTCTACTTTCTTTTCATATAAGTATTGGGCATTTTCATTTTCATACATGAAAATAAGGGAACCCATCTTTAAATATTCCATTGTTCCAGAATAATTTTAACTGAAATTAACTAATGTCTCCTTATATATTATTTTCAGATCTTATAAGCTCTTATCTCAGGCAACTTAAGCTTTTATCTGTGGCGTTAACTTAAGCATTTTATCCTGAAAATGAAGACAGAAAACAGTGACTGTCCATTAATGAGCTCTTCCAATGACTCAACAGTAAAAATTGAGCTATGTAGCATGGACACTGTTAAAGAAGTAGAACAGTTGAAAGCTGTTGGTGAAAAATGCGATGTGCAAATTGACATAGAAACTCTGGAATGTAAGTAGACTTCTTGTTAGTACTTTCATCAGTAAATGGAATTTAACTGGTTATATTTTTTTGTGAATTTTAATTCAGGGTTGGTTTTTTATTATTTAAATCAATTTTTTTGATGTCATTTGGCAGGCAGAATCTTATTCGACCCGGAACTCACCTAGTTTATATACCTTGACCCCGGGTCACTCTTCAACCTGCATCACATGCTCAGTTTTTAGACCATTCATTGGTCAAAACTTCCAATGACGTAATTTGAGCACAAGTGACTGCATACGTGTTGGTTTGATTGACTATTTATCTTATGACATCCAACTGGGGTAGATATAAAGTACACTTACAAAATGTACTATACTGCAGCCACGGTGTGATGTAAGTTAAACAGAGGTTCAGGACCTTGGTATATGAAGGCATGGGTGAGCATAAGCATAAGCAATGGTGTCTTAGGATTGTACATCAGGATTTATAGTGTCAATTAGCTCCTGTGCATTATAACGTTATGGCAAAGATGCACACTAGCATCTGTAATTCAACAGAAATTGAATGCCCCAAAAAAGTGTTGGGCCATATTCTTCTTGACTCAAATTACATGAAGTAACAATGCTAACAGTGTCACCATTACCATCAGTTTCTTACTCTGCTTGTGCTCTATTAGTCCCAACACACTTCTTGAGCTTTCATTCTTGATACCAGTCCTTGATTTTGCATATGCTCGCTAACCTGAAGGTCCAGGGTTCAATCCCGGCATAGGTCGAGATGATACCTTTGGATTTTTCAACCCGGTTTCCCCCTGTCAGTGATGCAGGTAAGAGGGACTGACAAGGAAAAAGTGTCTAGTCGTTCGGATGGGACAATAAACCGAGGCCCTGTGTGCTACAGGCTGTGCACGTTAAAGATCCCTTGACAGTTGGAAATCGAAAAAGAGCAGGCTAATGCTGCTGCCCTGGCAAAATTTCCCTCATTGCACCCTGCATGGCGTTGCCCGTCTTCATTAGCCCACATGGTGCAGAAAAGTAGGACGTAAAACTCCATTCATTTCATTATATTTGAATTTCCATATGACATTTAGCACCAGAGGTTTTCCCACTCTTAAGTTTTTTTTTATTATACGCCCACATGGAAATGTGGATGTATATTGTCGCCGCCATTGTCCGTCTACATGTGCACGATAGAGGCTACTGCTTTTGTTTGATCTTGATGAAACTTGGTATGCATGTTTATATTGATGAGATCTCTGTTCTGTTTGAAATTGGTAATAATTGGATAAATGGTTTCAGAGTTATTACCCTTGAATTAATACAATGCGTCAAATTTGGTTTGTCGGCAAGAGTTTTTATCCGATCTTGAGGAAACTGGTGCATTAATATATCGATGAGATGTTAGTAAAGTTCGAAATTGGTAATAATCACATGAGTTATTGCCATTGTGTGTACAGCAATGAGACATTGTTCATGTTTTAATTTGAAGGTATAATTTAACGTACTGATTTTGAGGCCTTATAAATATTTCACAGATTGAAAATTCATTATTAAGCCACTACAGACTTTGTTATTGTTTCTGACAGCTGGTTGTGGGTGTATGTTACCTTGTCTGGCAAGCTATCTTATTAAAAAAAAAAGTCACTGGCTGGATCTTGCTTTCTGTCTGACGTTGTAATCTAAAATAGCTTGTTCAAGCATGTCTGCTTTTTTTTTTCCACCTCCACTGACTGGAGAGCAGGTATATACTTGATGACTCACCATTCTGGCCCACTGGAAACTTGACTTGATACACATTTAAAGGCTAGAAAATCAAAATGGAAGTGCAAAGGTGGGCCTAGATCGGATTTGCATTGATTGACTTTGAAGACTATGAATTTTAGATATGTGGACTCGCACAACAAACAAATGTGGACTCTCTTAAGAGGATGCTAAGTTAAGCAGTCTTTTCAGAGTGGTACCATGTGTTTGAAGCATGTGAACCCTACCTGCCTTGTAGGTGTTTTTGCCCGTAATGGCTTTCTTATTTTCCTATTTTATATTGCTTCAGCTAAAGAAAGCGGCAATTCCAAATATACAAGAGTGGAAGAGTTTGTGTCTTCACATATTAGAAAGGTAAATACATTTACACATTTTTCTGAGGGACAAAACCTATTCGAAGTTTGGATTGGACCAGGGGCGCAGATCGCTTTTTCAATGCGGGGGGGACCAGTGGCGTACACAGGATTTATTCAAAGGGGGTGGGACCGAAAGTGCGAATTCGATGTTCTCGGATGCCAAATTGTGCCTATTTTACGTCTATTACAGACATCCCCCCTAATTTGATTGCAGAGTATAGCGGCATGAGAAGGTTTCAGTTGACCTGGTGACGCCGTATCTTTATAGCTCTCAGAAATATTATAGAAAGAAAGGCACGTTGCTTGTTACTGAATTTTCCAGTCATCCAGTGGGTGCCCGCGACCTAGGAGAAAATTATTTTTGAATTAAAAACTTCAATTTTCACCTGGGTGATCTATAGGGCGACCGATACCTTTCAACCAATCAAATTTAATGTCAAGGCAAGTCCTCTCAGTGGCGGTCCGCCATTTGTACTGATCACATGATATGATGGACGAAAATTTGCGCACGATAAAATTCGCTACGTGTGGCCCTTCGTGAGTGGAGATGGGTCACAAAACGAACGAATGGTCTTCCATTCTACTCAACCAAGCTTGACCATATCATTTCCCCCCCCCCCAGGTTTTCTGAAGGGAAGACATGTTGATTAACATAACAACCAAACATTAAGAGTTATATGGACTCTATAAAAAGGTTGTCTAGTTGACATACCCAAGTAACAGATAAACATCTTTAACTATGTTAACAAAGTGAAATAGCTGCTGATTTGAATAGATTTGCCAAGTAACATTTGTCTCCTTCAAAGTAATTCATTAATTTTTGTTTATTTTTGTGTTTTTGCAGGTTGTGATGATTATAGCTGTAGTCATCTATTTAATATATTTTATAACAGCTCTGGTGTTTGGAGCCACCCGTGAATGCGTGAACACAACTCCACTTATAGTTCTGACATGTTTAATACTGGCATACTTCCTCTTTGGATTTATTATGAGGCATTTTGGAGAAAATATGAAAGAAAAGGGTCTTGATCCATGTGTAAAATTTCTAAACAATAAACAACGGATATTAAAAGGGTAGGTGTCAAATATCCATTTAGCTTTTCAAATCCATGTTGTCCTGTTTTAGCACCTTCGGTTTTTTCAACCCAGTTTCTCACTGTTCATGTCAAATAAGGAAATGGAAAAATTTCCCACATTGCATACTGCAGTATTTATTGATGCTCTTTTCTTATTTGTAAAGGTTTTAATAAAGGACCATATGAAAGTATGAATTTGTATTTTGACTTCTGCTATTAGGCTAGCAGCCATTTTGAATTTGATCATTGTTGTTTCAGATTATTTGTGTTCCTTGCACTGGGAGGAATATTGGTTGTGATAATTGCTACAGGCGTTTACCAGCCCAGAAACCTCATCTCTGTTGTTGGCTATCTCTTCTTTGTCTTAATCCTGTTTTTATTCTCAGAACATCGTAAACAGGTGAGTTGATAAACTGGATTTTGGATGGGCTGTAGAATGGATGTTGTGTCATGTAAGAAGGAAGCTACGAAATGCCTGGCACTGAATTTGACCTTATCTTCCTTATAGTTGGACCTGACTAGCCTAGTCATCCTGGAAAATTAAAAATGATATAATCAATGAGGTAGACATGAAATAGTCTTGTAGCTATCGTAGATAATTAAAGATTATACAATCAATAAGGTAGACATGAAATAGTCTTATAGCTATCCTAGATCATTCAAGATGATACAGTCAGTGAGGTAGACATGAAATTGTCTTGTAGCCATCCTAGATCATTCAAGATGATACAGTCAGTGAGGTAGACATGAAATTGTCTTGTAGCCATCCTAGATCATTCAAGATGATAGTCAGTGAAGTAGACATGAAATAGTCTTGTAGCTATCCTAGATCATTCAAGATGATACAGTCAGTGAGGTAGACATGAAATAGTCTTGTAGCTATCCTAGAACATTCAAGATGATAAAATCAATAAGGTAGACATGAAATATGTCTTGTAGCTATCCTAGATCATTCAAGATGATACAGTCAGTGAGGTAGACATGAAATAGTCTTGTAGCCATCCTAGATCATTCAAGATGATAAAATCAGTGAGGAAGACATGAAATAGTCTTGTAGCTATCCTAGAACATTCAAGATGATACAGTCAGTGAAGTAGACATGAAATAGTCTTGTAGCTATCCTAGATCATTCAAGATGATACAGTCAGTGAGGTAGACATGACATAGTCTTGTAGCTATCGTAGATCATTCAAGATGATACAGTCAGTGAGGTAGACATGAAATGAGTCCAAACGCTATCCTGGATCATTCAAGATGATACAGTCAGTGAGGTAGACATGAAATGAGTCTTGTAGCTACCCTGGGTTTTTTTGTTAGCTGCCAAGATTAGGCTTTTTGTTCAAATTTTTTCATCTTTCTAGATTAAATGGAGACCTGTACTTGGAGGATTTACGCTTCAGTTCTTTTTAGCTGTAATGATTTTGAAATGGGACGTGGGCTATAAACTTTTCCATTTCCTTGGCGGTGTGGTCCAGGTGTTTCTTAGTTACACAGATGTTGGATCCAAAATGGTTTTCGGTGACAAATTCATGGACCATTTCTTTGCTATGAAGGTGAGTTTTAGACTATGTAATTATAAGTTTTTGTTCAAGAAGTTTAAAATGATAAATCAGATTATGAATTTCTGCAAAGAATTTAGAATTCTTACAGGGTGTCCGAGGAGGTTTAGAGGCAAATAACAATTAAACCGAAGCGATTCTTAAATGGCTGCCAATCTTAAAGGAAAAATATTTTTGGTGTATATTTTTTATGTCAATTTTTGTTTTTTTAGGTTCTCCCTGTGATTATATTTTTTAGCTGTTTTATATCCATCTTGTATCACTTGGGCATCATGCAGGCAATCATTGGTAAAATAGCCTTTGTTATGAGAAATATGTTGGGTACCACAGCAGCAGAATCTCTCTGTGCTGCTGGTAACATCTTTGTTGGTCAGGTAAGAACTATGCATGCCCATCTTGAGTGCTTGCCTTGCATCACAGTCATAGAAATTACAGGAATCATGGATGTCTAGCAGTGTCCTTGATACACATTTAAAGGCTAGAAAATCAAAACGGAATCTTTAAATGTCCTTGATAGAAGATATAAGTGTCTCCAATACACATATAAAAACTAGAAAATCAGAATGATGTAAACAGAGGCTATAAATGTCTAATACACATATAAAGACTAGAAAATCAGAATGGTGTAAATAGAAGCTATAAGTGTCTTCTGATACACATACAAAGACTAGAAAATCAGAATGGTGTAAATAGAAGCTATAAGTGTCTTCTAATATACATATAAAGACTAGAAAATCAGAATGGTGTAAATAGAAGCTATAAGTGTCTTCTGATACACATATAAAGACTAGAAAATCAGAATGGTGTAAATAGAAGCTATAAGTGTCTTCTGATACACATATAAAGACTAGAAAATCAGAATGGTGTAAATAGAAGCTATAAGTGTCTAATACACCTATAAAGACTAGAAAATCAGAATGGTGTAAATAGAAGCTATAAGTGTCCCTGATACACATATAAAGACTAGAAAATCAGAATGGTGTAAATAGAGGCTATAAGTGTCTTCTGTTACACATATAAAGACTAGAAAATCAGAATGGTGTAAATAGAAGCTATAAGTGTCCCTGATACACATACAAATGAAACATAAAATACTTGTAAAATAGTCTTTTTATACGCCCACATGAATATGTGGTCGTATATTGTCGTTGCCCCTGTCCGTCGGTCTGGCGGTCTGCCCGTCCGTCTGTCTGTCAACATTTCTTGTGAGCACTATACAGATTACAGTTTTTATCTGATTTTGATAAAACTTGGTGTGATGCTTTAGATTGATAGGATCTCGGTCAAGTTCGAATTTGACATATTTTCCATGAACCGTTTTTGAGATATTGCCCTTGACTTAGAACGCCTTGAAATTTGTTAAAAATTGTTCGTGAGCAGGATTGAAGCTACAGTTTTCAACCAATTCTGATGAAACTTGGTGTGATCATTGGAATTGATAAGATCTCGGACAAGTTTTAATTTGACGCATTTTCGATGAACAGTTTTTGAGTTATTGCCCTTGACTTTGTTAAAACGCGTCAAAATTTGTTACAAATAGTTGGTGAGCAGGATTGAAGCTGCAGTTTTCATCTGATTCTGATGAAACTTGGCATAATCATTGGAATTGATAAGATATAGAACATGTTTTAACTTGACGCATTTGAGATGAATGGTTTTTGAGTTATTGCCCTTGACTTCGTTAAAAAGCTTCGAAATTTGTTAAAAATAGTTTGTGCGCTGGATTGAAGCTACAGTTTTCAACCGATTCTGATGAAACTTGGCGTGATCATTGGAATTGATAAGATCTCGGACAAATTGTAACTTGACGCATTTTCGATGAATGGTTTTTGAGTTATTGCCCTTGACTTTGTTAAAACGCTTCGAAATTTGTTAAAAATAGTTATTGCCCTTCACTTTGTTGAAACGTCAAAGTTTGTTCGTAAGCACAATAGAAGCTACAGTTTTCCACCGATTCTGATGAAACTTGGTGTGATCATTGAAATTGATGTGATCTCGGACAAGTTTTAACTTGACACATTTTCAATGAACAGTTTTTGAGTTATTGCCCTTGACTGAAATGAAAAACGTGTCAAAATTTGTTTGTGAGCACAATAGACGCTACAGTTTTCAACCGATTTTGATGAAACTTGGTGTGATCATTGGAATTGATAAGATCTCGGACAAGTTCTAACTTGAGATATTTTTGATGAACTTTTTTTGAGTTATTGCCCTTGACTTTGTAAACACACATCAAAAGTTGTTTTTTTGCCCTTGATTAGAGCTGTATGATTTATTTGTTTGTTGTATTTGGCTTATTCATATTGATTTTAAAAAATTTTGTGGAATTACTCAGCATAAATAACTGGCATTTATATATGTAATTGAATTCAAACTAATAAAATTTCTTCAATATGAGAAAATTCGTACTTTAGTCACTAAAGTCTTTGTTTTTGCAGACAGAAGCTCCTATCTTAATCCGACCATTTTTAGAGTTAATGACAAAATCTGAACTACATGCTGTAATGACTGGAGGATTTGCTACCATAGCAGGTGGTGTCATGGCAGCTTATATTTCATTTGGGGTAAGTTAGTGATTTCAAACTTATTTTGCAGCTTGCTGATCAATCCAAGGGTATTGGGTATCAAGACAAAGGTTGCAGGTGCTGTCGATGTTTAAAATCCATTATTGTTTGTTGGCTGTTGTTGCTTTCCTGGCATAATTTCCCTCACTGCAGACTGCAAGGCATTTCTAGATATTCATTCTGAAAAGTGATCAGAAAAGCTGGACATTAAACAGAATTAGAATGGCCTGTTTAAATTATTCATTTTATTGCAGGTTCCTGCTGAACATTTGTTGTGTGCATCTGTAATGAATGCTCCCTGTGCCTTGGCTGTTTCTAAACTTCTGTACCCAGAAATTGAAGAAAGTCGCATTTGTAACAAAAAGCATATCAAGAATCAAACTTCGTAAGTAGGCAAAAAGGTTTATTCAAATATCGTCTGTTTCTGCTATTAAAATGTGGAGGTTGTACCCATGTCAGTAATTTAGGTCTGCAAGCATAGGAATAAGATTGTGTGTTTCTCATTTGGATTAACTCAAAGTTTGGTCTGAAGGTCGGCCCTGGCATTCGTACAGACTTGTGAAGATACACTTTTCAGCTACTTTTCTTCGTGTTTATTCATCAGCTTTAGGAGTAACTTTAAATATCTTTATTCTTCAGGAGTTATCGTAATGTTCTAGAAGCAGCGGCAGCTGGTGCATCTGCTTCCATAGGATTGGTGGCTAATATAGCAGCTAATTTGATAGCTTTCTTAGCTCTGTTAGCTTTTGTCAACGCAGTGCTATCATGGTTTGGTGGATTTGTTTGTCTTCCTGAATTGTCGTTTGAGGTAAGTTAATAATTTCTTGACAAAAATTTATAAATATAGGTCAAATTAACGCCAGATAGTCTCATGTTGTCCCACTTACACTTTTCCCCTTTTATAAGCCATTATAGCATTTAGTTGACATACACTTTCACTTTTTATACGCCATTATAGCATTTAGTTGACATACACTTTCACTTTTTATATGCCATTATAGCATTTAGTTGACATACACTTTCACTTTTTATACGCCATTATAGCATTTAGTTGATATACACTTTTACTTTTTATAAGCCATTATAGCATTTAGTTGACATACACTTTCACTTTTTATACGCCATTATAGCATTTAGTTGACATACACTTTCACTTTTTACATGCCATTATAGCATTTAGTTGACATACATTTCACTCTTTATAAGCCATTATAGCATTTAGTTGACATACACTTTCACTTTTTATACGCCATTATAGCATTTAGTTGACATACACTTTCACTTTTTATACGCCATTATAGCATTTAGTTGATATACACTTTTACTTTTTATAAGCCATTATAGCATTTAGTTGACATACACTTTCACTTTTTATTCGCCATTATAGCATTTAGTTGACATACACTTTCACTTTTTATACGCCATTATAGCATTTAGTTGATATACACTTTTACTTTTTATAAGCCATTATAGCATTTAGTTGACATACACTTTCACTTTTTATACGCCATTATAGCATTTAGTTGACATACACTTTCACTTTTTATACGCCATTATAGCATTTAGTTGATATACACTTTTACTTTTTATAAGCCATTATAGCATTTAGTTGACATACACTTTCACTTTTAATACGCCATTATAGCATTTAGTTGATATACACTTTTACTTTTTATAAGCCATTATAGCATTTAGTTGACATACACTTTCACTTTTTATATGCCATTATAGCATTTAGTTGACATACACTTTCACTTTTTATATGCCATTATAGCATTTAGTTGACATACACGTTCACTTTTTATACGCCATTATAGCATTAAGTTGACATACACTTTCACTTTTTATATGCCATTATAGCATTTAGTTGACATACACTTTCACTTTTTATACGCCATTATAGCATTTAGTTGACATACACTTTCACTTTTTATACGCCATTATAGCATTTAGTTGATATACACTTTTACTTTTTATAAGCCATTATAGCATTTAGTTGACATACACTTTCACTTTTTATACGCCATTATAGCATTTAGTTGACATACACTTTCACTTTTTATACGCCATTATAGCATTTAGTTGATATACACTTTTACTTTTTATAAGCCATTATAGCATTTAGTTGACATACACTTTCACTTTTTATTATACGCCCACATGAAATTGTCGTCACCCATGTCCGTCGGTCCGTCCGTCCGTCCGTCCGTCCACAATTGCTCGTAAACACTCTACAGGGCACAATTCTTGACGGATTTTAACGAAACTTAGTATGTGTGTTCGCAATCACCCAAGGATAAACCCTATTGAAAATCAGCGAAATCGAAAAATATTTAGCATGAATTATTGCCCTTGTTAATTTTTAGCTCGTAAACACTCTAGAAGGCACAATTCTTGACAGATTTTGACGAAACTTGGTATGAGTGTTCGTTATCACCCAAGGATAGACCCTATTGAAAATCAGCAAAATCGAAAAATATTAAGTATGAATTATTGCCCTTGTTCTTGATAACGCGTTCAATTTTTAGCTCTTAAACACTCTAGAAGGCATAATTGTTGAAGGATTTAACGAAACTTGGTATGAGTGTTCGTAAACACCCAAGGATAAACCCTATTGAAAATCAGCGAAATCGAAAAATATTTAGTATGAATTATTGCCCTTGTTCTTGCAAACGCGTTCAATTTTTAGCTCGTAAACACTCTAGAAGGCACAATTCTTGACAGATTTTGACGAAACTTGGTATGAGTGTTCGTATCACCTAAGGATAAACCCTATAGAAAAATCAGGGAAATCGAAAAATGTGTAGTATCAATTATTGCCCTTGTTCTTGAAAACGCGTTCAATTTTTAGCTCGTAAACACTCTAGGAGCACAATTCTTGACAGACTCTACAAGTCACAATTTTTTTGTTCATAATCACAATTTACAATAGATGTCATTATTTTCCTGAGAAACTATTTTGGTTAACAAATAAGAAAATTTAATTTAATCATTTAACATGTCCCTAACCAGCCACCATACATGTACAGCATCATAAGATACTATAAATAGACCAAGTGGAAAATCCAAGACAGATATCCAATCATAGCTTAGTCATGTGACTTGTGATGGCACAGTTTGTGATGGATTTGGGTATAAGTTGAATATTTCCTGGTGTCTATGTTAGCTATTTTCTAACAAATATTCAATTTCAAACAAAGCTATCAGTGGGCGTATATTACCTTGCCTGGCAAGCTATCTTAAGTATTATAGCATTTAGTTGACATACACTTTCACTTTTTATATGCCATTATAGCATTTAGTTGACACACACTTTCACTTTTTATACGCCATTATAGCATTTAGTTGACATACATTTCACTCTTTATAAGCCATTATAGCATTTAGTTGACATACACTTTCACTTTTTATATGCCATTATAGCATTTAGTTGACATACATTTCACTCTTTATAAGCCATTATAGCATTTAGTTGACATACACTTTCACTTTTTATACGCCATTATAGCATTTAGTTGACATACATTTCTTTTCAGTTGGTTTGTTCCTATCTGTTCAAGCCAGTAGCCTTTTTAATGGGAGTGGAATGGAATGATGCTGGCTCCGTAGGAGAACTGATTGGAATCAAGACATTCTTAAATGAGTTTGTTGCTTACGAGAAGTTGGCAGAGTTCATCAAAAACAGGGAAGATTGCTTGGATGGCGTTTCATTATCTGTAGGTTTTAAATTCTAAAGTTTAACAATGTAAAGAAACCTATAGACAATAATGCATTGTTGTTAATCAAGTATATAGGAGAGGGTATCATAAATCACAGGAAGAAAAAGTCTATAAGTATTTCATGGCTAGCCCATTTTTATTTCAGATCAAATCTGAAGTGATATCAACGTATGCTTTATGTGGGTTTGCTAATCTCAGTTCAATTGGTATACAGCTTGGTGGACTGACACCCATGGCACCTAATAGAGCTAGTGATTTAGCCAGTGTGGTTATTAAAGCTTTATTTGGAGGTATTATTGCCTGTTTAATGACTGCCTCCATTGCCGGTAAGTATACAAAATATTCGTCAGTATAAATATCATATCACAGAGATATTCACCAAATGAAACCAAAGACATTTCTACATTTCGATCATGAATTTTTCCTGCAACACTAGCATCTTAACCCTTTTAACCCTGAGTGTAAATAATATTTAACATCATATACCCCGAACTCCAAGTAATAAAAGTAAAAGCGTATGACGTTAACGTTGTATGACATCACTTAGCAACGGCCAATATACCGGCTGCTTGGGTATATATTACATTAGTGTTAGGCCGGTAAACAGGCCGCTAGGGTTGAAAGGGTTAAGGCTGCACAATGGCTATCTGAGAAATATTAAGCAATCAAAGAATTAAGGGTAGTCGAGAGTTGAATATTCAGTCCAAAGATCAGTTAGACATATTTTGGCTACACAATGTTTTCAATGTTGAGATATATAAAGTAATATAAGAAAAAAACTTCTTAGATTCACAGTTAAGGATTATTTCTACCAGCTGGTCCTTGGCCAAACCTCTTGGTATTCATTGACATTTCCTGGGTTATCAGTACCCATTTACAGCTGGGTCGACTGGAATTATGAGTGAAGATGACTTATTGAAGGTCATTGTACTTGATGTAACCAAGCAAATGTTGTCATGTGAAGAACCAACTGTGCTATAGAACCTCTTATGATCTAGAGTTGGTTAATGATTTTATACTTCAGGTTTATTGGTAGTTCATACTCCAGAAGATCTGCTTGTGACTTGTGTTGGCAATGTTACAAATAGTACATTTTCATTATTAAATACCACCGAACCAACAACTAGCGTATTGTATGATGTTTTAACCAATAACACCATGGCGTTTTAGTCCTAAATCACAAGATGAAATCGACTAGATTGCGTAGTATTGGGTAAAATTTGGCCATCAGAAATATCAAATGACATGAAGGTATTTTAGAAGTGCTAATTATTGCTATGACTTAGTGCTAAAAACTTGGAAACCTTGTAAGTATAACGTGCACCCTTTTTTATGGCTCCTGCAGACAGAGAGAATTTGGCGTGTGTCACTTTCTCACCACACTACTCCCCGTACACGAGGTACCTTTTGCTCTACTATGTCTGACGAAGGCTTATCACATGATCAATCAAAATGGCGGACTACTACAGTGATAGTCACGCTTGTCCTTGTCTTTGAATTCAGGCGATCGGATATTATAAAGGCAGGGGTAATCTTGGCATAATTCAATAAATTATCCTCAAGGATTGCTTCCGTCACTACTTCACTGGGCGCCGCCATCTTTGAATACCAATAACGCATGTGCGTTGTGTTTGTCGTCTAAGAAAGTAGCTCACGGTTACCCGCACACAGTGTGTCATCGGCCACGAGTGGTCAAAAATATCAAACACGATAGATATTTTCCACACGACCACGAGAGGCCAAATGCACACTAAAAATTACCCGCTACTAGTCGAGCGTAATTGGCTCTGTGCTATTTTCTCTCTGTGTGCAGGCGCCTTTACCCTCTAGTTAATCTGGACTAATCTGTCACTGTTAATATTACTTTACCCATCCAAACAAACAAAGATAACACCATTCTCAAATTCCTCATTAAACAAACTTAGCAATACAGGTTTCTAAAATTTTTTAGCCTTGTTCATGAGTTAAATTTGGTTTTTACCATATCAAGGAAATATTCTTCCTTCAAAAATTCCTTATACAGTTTAAATATATTTAAAAATTTGTTTAAGAAAGAAGTTTAACTGAAATGAAATAAGAATTAAAGGGATTGTAAAGAGGTTTTCTAAACTTTTTATGTATATAGGGGACTCTGATAGCATCAATTTGCTAACTTTAATGAAAGTTTAAAATCTTGTATATAAATATTTTTTGTCTTCTGATATGAATTTTAAGTATTAAAGGGATTGTAAAGAGGTTTTCTAAATTTTGTAGGTGTATCTGGGACACTGATAGCATCAATTTGCACCATTCCAATTTTCAATCAGACGTCATAAAACAACTTAGCAGAATTGCTCGAACCACAGACGACTGATTGGAAATTGGAATGGTGCAAATTGATGCTATCAGTGTCCCCGATACACATACAAAATTTAGAAAACCTCTTTATAATCCCTTTAATACTTAGAATTCATATCAGAGGACAGTTATAGATTAGTCAATATTCAAAAAATATTTATATACAAGATTTTTTAAACTTTCAGTTATCAAATAAACATATATATGTATTCTAAACTTTTATTAAATCATTGCCTTCAAAGAGTATTTTTTTATAAGCCATAAATATTCTATCTTCACTTGAGTCCATAAACATGCATATTTCTATATATTCTATTCCAACATATTGATTAATTAATTAATTAATCCAGTGTACTTGGAAACTTTTATCAAAAAGTATTTTATATAAGTTATATATTTGCATTATTTTAACATCAGTATTGTAAACTTTCTAAGTCATTATTATTGAGCTTAAAGATGGGTTCCCTTATTTCATTTATGCAAAATGAAAATGCTAATACTTATATGAATAGAAAGTACAGGTGTTCTAATGACTTGGAAAAATACCAGTTTGTCTCACATGTCCATAATTAATTCATAATTAGCTAAATTAGAAGAGAATTACCACCAGAATTCCAACGAGTGACCGATCAAGAAAGGTCAAAATGTCTTTTTTGTTTAACCAGACTGTAATTACATGGACATTTATGATTGGTTAAAACTCTTAATTATATGCAATAATAACATAATGATATGATTAAGAATACAGGATAATTCATTAGAAACACCAATTTATTGAATAGTTTGCTTAATTTGACACTAAAAAATAAGGAAACCCATCTTTAATATTTACTATATGAGATGTTAATATCATATAGAAAATACTAAATATTATTATTTTTTTTACCACCTGGTCTGGGAGAAAGTTATTTAGCCTAATTCATTGCATGCTAACCAAAGTTACGATTCTAATTGTGATAAGTGATACAGATAGCTGAAAATAAGCTGTAATGACTATTAAAAGGCATGATTAATATGGCTATGTTCTTGTTATAATAAATCTCATTGTGCCATTATCATCCTGTGAAATTGAGACAATGCTTCATGCAGATTAAAGGGATAGGTGCACCATTTTTTTTACCAATCATACCTTAGTCTCAGAAACTGGAATTTTTAAGCTAAGCCAATCAGTAATAGTGTTCACAGCTCACCGTCAAAATTTAAACCTTCAAATCTTTGTCCAGAGTTATTTACATTTGATGAGTCGTCATAAATTGCCAATTGCCATATATAGAAAAGGCATCTGTAGCAATAGGAAAAATTCCTAGTTTGAGATATTTTTCATACACTTCTAGTAGCAGTACTTCTGAAGACTATTTACTTCATTCAAGACTCAAATCACCCTCTAAAATGGTGCATCTGTCCTTTTACGAACTGAAGGTATTTTTCTCCATTTTATATTAACTACATATTTATACACAATATATCATCCAAGAATCTTCGGTTTTAGAAAATTCCAATTTTATTTTTGAATTTATTTTAATATTTTTTTTTGTTTTGTATCCATTTTTTGTTTGCCATTTCCTTTTCAGTATTTTATTTTTGCCTTTTTTTTTTTTAATGTGTTATCTATATTTTGTTTTGCCAGTTTTTTTTTTCTATGTTTTAAGACGCGTAATATTGCATTTTCTTAATAATCCTTTAACGTGTAGAGATCGCATTTAACAGAACACAACTGTATTGTACACAATGTTTCAACAATTTACATTGTCATCATTAAGTGGAATGAGGGAGTATAATACAATAAGGTATAAATTTACATAAATAATAAACTATAGCAATAATTAATTCACCATGACAATGTAAATTGTTGAAACATTGTGTACAATAAACCTAAGGAAGTAGTATATCATAAAATTGTGTTCTGTTATTGAGTATTTTCTGTAATGTGTTTTGATTCAAGCCCATTTATATCTTAAAGATGGGTTCCCTTATTTTAATTTATGCAAAATGAAAATTTTAATACTTATATGAATAGAAAGTAGAGGTGTTCTAATGATTTGGAAAAATACCAGTTTGTCTCACATGTCCATAATTAATTCATAATTAGCTAAATTAGAAGAGAATTACCACCAGAATTCCAATGAGTGACCGATCAAGAAAGGTCAAAAAGTCTTTTTTCGTTTATCCAGACTGTAGATACATTATGTACATTTATGATTGGTTTAAACTCTTAATTATATGCAATGAGAACTTAATGAAATGATTAAGAATACATGAGAATTAAAATTAATCAAATAGTTTGCTAAATTTGACACTAAAAAATAAGGAAACCCATCTTTAAATGAATATACTTATCTTAATATTTACTTTACTGAAATATTAGAGCACACTACTGTCAAAGAGATTGTTAAGAGGTTTTCTAAAAAATTTTTATGTGTATCTGGGACACTGATAGCATCAATATGCACCATTCCAATTTTCAATCAGACGTCTATGATTCTATTAATGTCCCTGATACACATAAAAATTGAGGAAACTTCTTTAAGCTCGTAAGAAGCGACCAACATGTATAGTAAAGTAAATAATTAGACATTGATATCAATGGAGGTCTATTTTGTTACTCTTTGCTCAGACGAGCGTATTTTATGGCGGTGAATTATGTGCCCGCTCATGTCAGCGACGATTTCTTAAGCTGGCTTAAAAAATGCTAGATATTTACGACAGATTATTTAGTAATTAAATTGGCTCGTATTAATGTTGATATTCAGTGACGTGACAAAAAATTACGCCCTAGCATTAGAGGTACAATAAATAGACATTTAATCTACCTAAAACTAAATCAGACTTTTCAAATTGAAATTATATTTAAATTTCTATAAAATAGTTTTCTACCAATGGCCTCTTCATTATTTTTAATCAAAGCGTCTCGTGTTAAACCAGTTTTTGCAAAACCCAAAGATGCTGTTGTTGCCTTGGTGTGTTTCTATTCTGCTGCCTTGCTATTGCTTGTGTACTCCAACTGCCATAGCCTCATCCAAACAATGCAAATGAATGTGATGTATTTTATTTCATTTCATTTCGTTTTGATGTATGTACATATTGCTTTTGAATCAATTTCTTAAAACATTGAAATTTTGGTTATTTCTTACGTATGGCAAATATTTGAGTTGTTTTTTCCCAAATGTCCAGATGGTCACTGGATGACTCCTGATTTTCCTCTGGCGAGTCATGAATCGACTAATAGCTAACCCAGAAGACAATATGTTCATGGGTTACCTACTAGTTGACTCATAACTCACCAAGACAATATGCCCATGAGTTACATATTAGTTGACTCATGACTCAACGGGGAAAATAGGTAACTCATGAGCAGATTTTCCCTGGAGAGTCATGAATCGACTAATAGGTAACTCACCCCAGAAGACAATGTGCCCATGAGTTACATATTAGTTGACTCATGACTCAACGGGGAAAATAGGTAACTCATGAGCAGATTTTCCCTGGCGAGTCATGAATCGACTAATAGGTAACTCACCCCAGAAGACAATATGTTCATGGGTTACCTACTAGGTTGACTCATGACACGCCAAGACAATGTGCCCATGAGTTACATATTAGTTGACTCATGACTCAACGGGGAAAATAGGTAACTCATGAGCAGATTTTCCCTGGCGAGTCATGAATCTACTAATAGGTAACTCACCCCAGAAGACAATATGTTCATGGGTTACCTACTAGTTGACTCATCAAGACAATGTGCCCATGAGTTACATATTAGTTGACCCATGACTCACCGGGGAAAATAGGTAACTCATGAGCAGATTTTCCCTGGCGAGTATTGAATCTACTAATAGGTAACTCACCCCAGAAGACAATATGTTCATGGGTTACCTACTAGTTGACTCATCAAGACAATGTGCCCATGAGTTACATATTAGTTGACTCATGACTAAACGGGGAAAATAGGTAACTCATGAGCAGATTTTCCCTGGCGAGTCATTTACTAATTAGTTGCTTTTCCCCCTGGATAATCCGCTCTTGAGTTACCTATTATTTGATACATGACTCACCAGGTAATATCTGTAGCATAGAAATTCTCATGACTCACCAGGGCAAATCTGCCAAGACTCATTACCCAACAAGACAAGTCGGCAGTATAGAATGAGCCAACTAATCGGTAACTCGTGAGCAGATTGTTCTTTGGTGATTCATGAGTTTACTCACCAGGGGAAATATGCTCTTAGCTGACTCACGAAAAATTCAAATACAGAAATGAAAATAACTCACTAGGGAAAAACCTGCTCACGAGTTACCTATTAGTTAACTCATGACTCATCAAGGACAATATGCCCATGAGTTACCTAGTAGTTGACTCATGACTCACTGAGAACAATCTGCTCATGAGTTACCTGCTTGTTGACTCATGACTCACCGAGAACAATCTGCTCATGAGTTACATATTAGTTGACTCATGACTCACTGAGAACAATCTGCTCATGAGTTACCTGCTTGTTGACTCATGACTCACCTAGAACAATCTGCTCATGAGTTACATATTAGTTGACTCATGACTCACCAAGAACAATATGCTCATGAGTTACCTGCTTGTTGACTCAGGAAACCAAGAACAATATGCTCACGAGTTACCTATTGACTCACCAAGACAATGTGCCCATGAGTTACATATTAGTTGACTCGTGACTCAATGGGAAAAATCTGCTCATGAGTTACCTAGTAGTTAACACACGACTCATCAAGAACAATCTGCTCATGAGTTACCTATTAGTTGACTCATGACTTAACAGGGAAAATCTATTCGTGAGTTACCCACTAGTTAACACATGACTCGCCAAGAACAATATGCTCATGAGTTACCTGCTAGTTGACTCATGACTCACCAATAACAATATGCTCATGAGTTTCCTATCAGTTGACTCATGACTCAACAAGAACAATATGCTCATGCGTTGCCTACTAGTGACCTATTAGTTGACTCATGACTCAACAAGCAACATCTGCTCATGAGTTACCTACTAGTTGACTTATGACTCACCAAGAACAATCTGCTCATGAGTTATCTATTAGTTGACTCATGACTCAACAAGAACAATATACTCGAGAGTGACCTATTAGTTGACTCATGACTCAACAAGCAACAATATGCTCATGAGTTGCCTATTAGTTGACTCATGACTCAACAGGAAAAATCTATTCGTGAGTTAAGTACTATTTGACTCATGACTCACCAAGAACAATATGCTCATAAGTTACATATAAGTTGACTCATACTCAACTGGGAAAATATGCTCATGAGTTACCCACTAGTTAACTCAAATTTCCTGTTTTACGTGAGCTATGGATTTCTTATTGACTCATGAGTCACATTTTATGAAGAACATAATAGTTGAGTAAAGAACTCATTAGTTGCTACTTCTGGCTTACAAGTATAAATATATATGTTATCAAACTTGAGAGATGGCCCAAACATCAAATTTTGCGAGTTGAAAGAGGCTTTGTCAATCTGCCATGTTTTTAGTAGGTTTACTTCTGTAATTTATTCAACAGTATTTCATTCTTTCGACACTCCTATAAAATAGTACAAAAAAATTAAGTCAATGAGAATTTTTCTAAATACCAGACCTGTAGCTGCAAGGGGGGCTACTAGCTTTTATCATCCAGTCCCTCTACGTACAACGAAACAAGTTGCTTAAAATCCTTACAACTGACCAATCCTAAAGATGCTATTGAATCTGATTACTTGTAAATCCACATCCATTTTGGTGAAACTTGTAGATCAATTATGCTAAATTGTTGTTATCTCCCTTGAATAAGACCTGACAGAAAATTCAATCAAAAACGTAGACAGGAAAAGTTTGGGTGTCTGAGACTAGGGGGATACTGTCTGCCAATAACTGTACATCCCTGTACCAGTGTACACCATACTTTCAACAATGACATGGTTGATTACAGTTATCATATGCTTTCTTAGTTTGGTCAGGTCAAATAGCCATCTAAATATTTACCAGCTGATAGAGCTATATTTCAGCTATCTGTCTCAAAATTCAGAATTAAAATCTGATATCCTGTTCATCTACGATTCAATGAGAGACTTGACATATAGTTCTGTTCTATGCTCTATCAGCTGGCTAGTAAATAAAATATTTATGGTGAGGAAAACGAGCAGTCTTGGTCGGAGATTTTTGTTGTTGATTATTGTCTTGAGTAAAATCTTGCGTGTGCCCGTACTTCCACAAGGTTATCGCATTTATAATATCAAACCAGTTGATAATTGGCTCTGATATTTTTACCGTCTGCAAAACAGACAGTCATCATCCAATCAGAGCCATTTTCCTTTCAAGTGCATGCTCCACATCTGATTATCATCATGGTGGAAAACGACTGGAGATTTTTTTCTCTTAATATGCATGTGCCATAGTTGGCGAAACTCCTGACAAGACTCTAATCAACGACAAAAATCTACGAACAAGACCACTTGTGTGCCGGCACCTTTACACAACTTAATCCCTTCAGCTATAATCTAAAAACAAATGACATACAGTACCTCTTTAAATTCTTTGACTGTTTTAAAATAAAGTCGCTGTTTTTCTACCAAATCAATATAATGGTCATTTAGTTGATCTCGTTTCATTTTCTCCTCCTGCTTTCTTTTCTCCACCTAAAAGAAATAATAAAAAATCGCTGTAGGAGTGTTGATTTGACTAATGAAGACATGCAGTGTGCAATGAGTAAATAATTTTCCAGGACACCCATATTGGCTTACTCTATTCCCATTTCTAACTGTCAGGAGATCTTTTACAAGCACAGTTTGTAGTAAGTAAAGTTTATTTACCGATATGAAAGATTAGACATTTTCATCGACAGCCCCTCTGAACTACCTCTCTGAGCAGACACCGAGAGAGGTACCTAGAAGAGCATAGATCATGGATACACCCTTGCTTCCCTCAAACCAATAGGAGAGATCGGCCATGATGTCATAGAGGTGCTTTGTGTATCACATGATACACAACTTTAACAGTTGTAAGAGTGGTTTGTCCTACCAATTGTCTTACTCAAGTAATGCAGTGTCCTATTTTTAGCATTTCACAGCTAAGCTGATTTCTCCTATTGCAAGCCCCAAGAACTTTAAAGATGGGTTTCCTTGTTTTTAAGTGTCAAATTAAGCAAACTATTTGATTAATTGTTGTTTCTAATGAATTATCATGTATTCAATAATTTGGTGTTTCTAATGAATTATCTTAATCATATCATTATGTTGTATTGCATATAATTAAGTGTTTTAACCAATCATAAATGTCCATGTATGTACAGTCTGGATAAACAAAAATAGGCTTTTTGATCTTTCTTGATCGGTCATTCATTGGAATTCTGCTGGCAATTCTCTTCTTATTTAGCTAATTATGAATTAATTATGGACATGTGAGACAAACTGTTTTTTTCCAAGTCATTAGAACACCTCTACTTTCTAATCATAAAAGTATTAGCATTTTCATTTTCATAAATGAAAATAAGGGAACCCATCTTTAAAATAGGAATTTTGACCTTACCTTCTTCTTGTTTTGTTTTATTCCCTCCACTATTGTTTCAAATTGTTTTAAAAACTGATCTTTATTTTGTTGACTGGACATCGCTCTACAAATTTCAAGAATTGATAAATAAATCAAAGAATAAAGTTGTCTAAATATTTACTTTATAAGTTGCTAAAATCCATTTTCATCCATTTGTATAGTGTAAATATTCAGCTGATAAATCTCAAATTTAACGGTAGTTATATGTAGCACATTTCAGAATCAAAGTCAGACATCAAGCTTCCCTACAGTTACATACAGAATGACATATTTACCAAGACCTTCGTAACTCATGAGCAGATTTTGGTGAGTCATGAGTCAATAGGTAACTCATGAGCAGATTGTCCTCGGTGAGTCATGAGTCAATAGGTAACTCATGAGCAGATTGTCATTGGTGAGTCATGAGTCAACTAATATATCAACTATAGTCAAATATGGATCAACTATATTGACTCATGACTCACCAAGGACAATCTGCTCATGAGTCAACTAATAGGTAACTCATGAGCAGATTGTCCTTGGTGAGTCATGAGTCAATAGGTAACTCATGAGCATATTGTCCTTGGTGAGTCATGAGTCAATAGGTAACTCATGATCAGATTGTCCTTGGTGAGTCATGAGTCGATAGGTAGCTCATGAGCAGATTGTCCTTGGTGAGTCATGAGTCAACCACTAGGAAACTCATGAGCATATTGTCCTTGGTGAGTCATGAGTCAACTAATAGGTAACTCATGAGCAGATTGTCCTTGGTGAATCGTGAGTCAATAGGTAACTCATGAGCATATTATCCTTGGTGAGTCATGAGTCAATAGGTAACTCATGATCAGATTGTCCTTGGTGAGTTATGAGTCAACCACTAGGAAATTAATGAGCATATTGTCCTTGGTGAGTCAGTCATGGGTCAACCAATAAGTAACTCATGAGCAGATTGTCCTTGATGAGTTAATAGCAAACTCATGGGCATATTGTCTTTGGTGAGTCATGAGTCAACTAATAGGTAACTAATGAGCAGATTGTCCTTGGTGAGTCATGAGTCAAGACATTTTCCCCTGAGTCTAATTAGTTGGAAAAGTCCAAAACATGAGCCAAATTTGGTTATTTCATATTTTTTAAGACAAAAAATTTCAAAACCATGAAAAGAAAAACTTTCGGAAACAAGAAAGTAGGAAACTTACTGTGAAAAATTGTCATGTATGGAATTTAACAACGTGACCTGAAATACAAATATGATACACAACATCAACCCTTAATAACCATTGATCACAATTCAAAGATGGGTTTCCTTGTTTTTTAGAGTCAAATTAAGTAAACTATTAGATTAATTGGTGTTTCTAATGAATTATCATGTATTCTTAATCATATCATTATGTTCTTATTGTATATAATAAAGATATTTTAAACAATCATATGTATGAACAGTCTGGATAAACAAAAAAAGACTTTTTGACCTTTCTTGATCGGTCACTCATTGGAATTCTGCTGGTAATTCTCTTCAAATTTAGCTAATTATGAATTAATTATGGACATGTGAGACAAACTGGTATTTTTCCAAGTCATTAGAACACCTCTACTTTCTATTCATATAAGTATTAGCATTTTCATAAATGAAAATAAGGGAACCCATCTTTAACAACTCTAAACATATTTCTTTCAGAGCATTTTTAATTTTCCAGATGGTTTCATTCTTGAGTGATCACTGAAAATTTCACTGAGTTCGTCAAAATCCAGCAGAATTGTTGACAATTAGCACATAACAAAGTGCAAATTCTTTAGAGCTTCCAATTGAAAACATTTTTATATTAAGCCAGATGGACTGATGATTGTAGTTCTATTCAAAACGTGGCACAGTCACATAGTAGACCTACCTCTTTATTTAAATAAAGTTTGGTATCATCTAGAGTATTGTACAGAGTATAAAACTGTTTCGTTTCTTTATGTGTTGAAGCAACTGAAAATATAAAACAAGTGTGTCTGTTACTTCTACTAAAGGGAACGAACTCTTTCAGACGTCATTCATTGCATCCTGGGAAAAATAGACAAACCTGAGATTTCACTTGAAAGCTTTCAGCTGGCGTCTCTGGAACACCTGATGCATCTCTGAGTTTGTCAATTCAGACAGTCTACCTAGCTAAACATGTTTATTTGGTATTTGGTTCTGTCAACTTAACATCCCTTTCAGAGAGTTCACATATCGAATAATGTTATTTTGCATTCAGGTTTATCAACTTTAAATCCCTTTCAGAGAGTTCACATATCTAATAATATTACTTTGGTTTATCAACTCCCTTTTAGAAATTCTAGCCAATAATTCTATATGGAATTTGGGTTTGTAAACTCTGTAACCCTTTCAGAGAGTCCACAAAACAAATTATTATTTTTTTCCTAAACAATGTAAAACTCACTTTGATTATAAAGCTCTACAAATCGACGTTGATATTGACTAAGTTCAGCTCGTGATGGTATCTCATCTATTTTACGTTGTAATCCTGCTATTTCACGGTTTTTACGTGCCTATAAAATATCACAAGATCGCGTTAAGATCTACTGAGAGGCAAAAGAAATGTCACTTCTGACAACACTGTTCAACCTAAAGAGACACTTTAAGTTTTGCAGAGTGGGGTTAGCTCTTAAGTTAATTTAAAGGGACAGATGCACCATTTTTTGACCAATCATACTTTAGTTAAGTCAATCAGTAATAGTGTTCACAGCTCACCATCGAAATTTGAGCCTTTAAATCCATGTGTGTCCAGAATTATTTGTGTTTGAAAGTTAAAAAGACGAGTCGTTTTTTAAGAAAAGACATCTATAGAAATAGGAAAAATTCCTAGTTTGAGATATATTTGAATGAATTATGTGATTTCTGTACAATTCTAGTACTTCTGAAGACTATTCACATATATTCAAGACTCAAATCAACCCCCCAAAAATTTGTTGCGGGCCTTAAAAAACATTACATACCAATAAAAGTCGTATTTTATGAAGTTTTTCTCTATCAGATTCATATTGTTTGTCTATTAAACCTACTCTTTCCTACATTGAAAGAAAAAAACACAAATATTTCAAACTATTAATTTATTTCAGATTAAGATAACAAAATCAATTTTACCCCTAAAAATATTTTTCACAAATTTAAAGATAGCTTGCCAGGCAAGATAACATACGCCCACTACCAGCTGTCAGAAATGATAACAAAGTCTCTATGTGGTTTAATATGTGAAACCAATCATCTGATTTTTACTAATTTCAAGCTTTACTCTATAGCTAAAGAATTGTAGCCTGTAGAGTGAGCACGAGTTGCACAATATAGCTAATAGAGTGAAACGTCAAGTTAGACACGATATTTCGGTGAAAAATTATCCGATCATCACGAAAATCGATATGGAACATCTTCATAATGACATTGACACACAAAATCAAAATCAAAAGAATCTGTAAAGAATTGTAGCCTGTAGAGTGAGCATGAACCAAATGTGAACGGACGGACTGACCGACAGGGTGATGTTTTTGCCCCAAAATTTTCATAATTTTCTTGGCAGAACCATCTCAGACGGTCCATTAGAGGCTTGCAACTATGATACCCCTGTAGATTTGCTACATTTTTTTATTCAGCCTAGTTGAGTGCACCCCCTATTTGTACCCCCAGTTTCAGGAGTCTTGCACCACCACTGTCAATGAGGTAGATATGAAATGAGTCAAAATGTGTGCTATTGTTTTCATTATAACAATGTTCTATTACATTTGGAGCAATTTTGAGAAGCAGCCATTTTGTTAGTGATTAAATATGTCATTGTCATTTACTAAAAAAAAAAAACAAAAAACTCAGTTTAATGTAAACTCTACTCTTAAAGATTGGTTTCCTTTCCTTTCTCATGAATTATCATGTATTCTTAATCATATCATTATGTTCTTATTGTATATAATTAAGAGTTTTCACCAATTATAAATGTCCATGTATGTACAGTCTGGATAAACAAAAAAAGACTTTTTGACCTTTCTTGATCGGTCACTCATTGGAATTCTGCTGGCAATTCTCATCTAATTTAGCTAATTATGAATTAATTATGGACATGTGAGGCAAACTGGTATTTTTCCAAGTCATTAGAACACCTCTACTTTCTATTCATATAAGTATTAGCATTTTCATTTTCATAAATGAAAATAAGGGAACCCATCTTTAACACTAACACTTGAATAACATAAAAGCAACAGACCTTGTCTTCTGAATCTAAATCATCTCCTTCTAGTTTCAATTTATCTATATTCTCTTTTAATCTTCCCATCTCTTCCTATAATATTCATATACTCAATTCTTCACTCCTGTATAGTGAGTTTTCTAGCAACATATCGTTTCAGGGTAAGGTGGATTTTGACATCAACTAGATGGATTATTTAACGTTTCTGCAAATGAAACTATTGCATGGCTACTTCATTTCTGAATTTAATTTTGATAAGTGATACGAATAAATGCTATTGAGCTCTTTCGGTTGATAAAGGCTGAAATCCTAATTTCATACCTTACAATGGTTCTTGAACTCTTGTTCCTGTTTCTTTAGATTTTCATTCATGGCCACCAGTGATCTTAAAGTCTGTAAGATACTGGAATAGGGACAAAAAAAATACCATATAAGATCTGACAAAATTGCTACACACCATGAATTCAAAGTCATTAAAATATTCAACCAATCAAATGCACTGAATCAAAATCATTACAAAAGTTATCATATCAAAATTGCCCTGTATGATCTAATAAAATTGATATGCATCATGAGTTCCAGGTCATTGAAATATCTAACCAATCAAAATCTCTGATTCATAAAATCTATTAATCACATGTAGTGAATTCTGGAATTTTCAAATCTGATTCAAATGCAGACAAAGGTGTTTTGTTTAATGTTTTTTTCTCTGGGCGACTGCACTTGCCATCCATGATCTGAAGAAAATTTATACCACTATTTAATTGGGTGTACCTCTTATTTTCATCTGTTTCCATTTCTTCAAGTTTCTTCATCTCATTATCTATTAATTTACCCTTTTCTTGGGCCTAAAAATAAGTTAACAAATTCAAAAAAAATTAGTAGTCAAGTAATCTAGCATGTTTCCTCAGGAAAGTTGTTCAGATGGGATGATAATCTCAAGTCCTGTGTGCAAACATCAAATGCTCCTTGGACAAATGAGTAAAATAATGCTGTTGGAAAAAATTTCACTCATTGCACACTGCTCAAAATAGTTTTATTTTGTTGTTTATAGAAAATAAGAAGGCCTACCTCTTTCAACTTCTCTTGTGTCTCCTGATAGGTTTTCTCTAACTCACTATGTTTTGCCATCACCTAAACAAATATACATGAACAAGAGTTATTTCCCTTGTTCTTACCAAGCGCTGGATAACCTCTGATAGTTTAGTAGAAGTATTATAAGTAAGTTAATAAAGGTGAGTGTTATACAAGGATGTGTATTGTACTAGGAATTATACTGTATATAACTAACCTCTGATAGTTTAGTAGAAGTATTATAAGTAAGTTAATAAAGGTGAGTGTTATACAAGGATGTGTATTGTACTAGGAATTATACTGTATATAACTGACCTCTGATAGTTTAGTAGAAGTATTGTAAGTAAGTTAATAAAGGTGAGTGTTATACAAGGATGTGTATTGTACTAGGAATTATACTGTATATAACTGACCTCTGATAGTTTAGTAGATGTATTATCTATCTGTTTACGTAAAGCTGTTGTAATACGTTTATGTTGTTGTACTCCTCCAACTCTCTCACTTTTTTCAATATCTTCAATTTCACCTTGCTACAAATTACAAAGAGACAAAAAACATTTAAGCTCGTGATTTTCATCAATGAAGAAATTGTAAAAGATAGCTTGCCAGGCAAGGTAACATACGCCCATTGGCAGCTTTCAGAAATGATAAAACAGTCTTTGGTGACTAAAGTATGAATTTTCTCATGTCAAAGAAATTTTAATAGTTTGAATTCAATGATATATATATTTACTACCAGTTATTTATGCTGAGAAATTCCACCAAGTTTTTAACTATAGCTAATAGGGTGAAACGTCAAGGCAGACACGATATTTCGGTGAAAAATTATCCGATCATCACGAAAATCAATAGGGATCATCTTCATAATGACATTGACACACAAAATCAAAATCACAAGAATCTGTAAAGAATTGTAGCCTGTAGAGTGAGCACGAACCAAATGTGAATGGACGGACCGACAGGGGTGATTACAATATACGCTCATCTTATGTGTGGGCGTATAAAAATAGTTACTTAAGAGCTACAGTCATGCATTAAGCTGAATATAAAAGTTGTAGAAATAATGACATTAGTACTAAAAACTATAAACATGGATGAATGGATGAATGAATGAATGAATGAATGAATGAATGAATGAATGAATGAATGAATGAATGAATGAATGAATGAATGAATGAATTCATTCTAAGTTTTCCATATATATGGACATATATACTATTGAATGAATGAACAAACAAATGAATGAATGATAAACTTACTCGATCAGCGTATTCCGAAGCAATTTGTTGTATTTCTGCAGACTGCATGCTGACAATGGAACCAACAGCACTGGCCGAGAGTTTACCCTAATCAAACAACATAAAATCATGCAACACATACTTATTATTAATGTAATAAAGATACCATATTTAACAATTCTAGCTATGTGAACTCTCAAAAAACTCCTTAAAGGTATAGTAATCGCAAGTAAGTTTCCCTGTGTTCAGAAATACTATTTCTAATTTGGCAATAACTCTAACACTGCGTTCAGATGAATAAAGCTAAGGCAGATTAACTTCCAACCGTTCTTCGAGCCTGTTGTTTTTTGTCGTCTGAACACGACCCGTTGAAGTTAAGCTACCTTAACTTGCACCTACTTCGGAGGTGGCTTGAAACCTTGCTTGGAAAGTTAAGCTGGCTTAATTTTGCCGTCTGAACGCCCCTGGCTAACAAAGCCGGATATAACATTTCCCGCGCGTACTGTCCCCGATTCCCGTCATTACCTGTTTGTATTCGTCAACAAACAACAACTTTAGCCATTGAGCAAGAAAGTAAAAATGAACGTCCCCGGCGTCTTCTTTCAAAAGATGCCGGTCTCTTTCGGCGTAAAAAGAAAAGTTGAAGAAGTTTATAAATCAATATAATCGGAATCGTCGCCATTTTGTGGGTAAAAGTAAACATTACACGCGCATGCGTCATGGTATTTTGACCTCTGAACTTCTGAGGTCATGTCAAAGCTGGCTTAATTTTTATATCCGTCTGAACGCTCACGGAAAACACGAAAACCAAGCTCGAAGAACGGTTGGAAGTTAAGCTGGCTTAACTTTAGTCGTCTGAACGCAGTATAATATAAGCCTGTTTATTTTCACTATCATGCAAAGTGTTACAGCACGTACAGAAAAATAAATTATGTTACTATGACTCAAAATGGCAGAAAGCAAAATAAAAAAATAAGTAAATTTGAAATGAAAAAAAAAAGTAAGACATGCCACAATTTTCTTTTTTGAAGGAATGTCACTTTGTCCACTGAAAGTCTATCTTTGCAATTAAATTGGACAGCAAAGGGACAACTTTCCAAATATCTGGAATAACTTTCTATCAGGATCTAAGATGGCCTTTGACTCATATTTTCTTGAAATTTTAAAATTGTTGAAATGAACGATCCAACCTACTGAATTACAGTGGAAACAAAACATATCTATAAGGCCATACAAAATAATTAGTCTGTTTTGCAGGCCTTTTTTTTCAAAAATCGGGGCAAGAGGGCAAATTTATTCTTTATTATTTATAAGCGATTTTTTGGGTTTTCAACTGGAATAAATCAGGCATTTTTAGGCCTGTAAAACAGACTATTCATTTTGTATGGCCTAAATATGACTGAAATAAAAAAAATGGCTGAAATTGACTGACCTCTTGTAAACCAGACATTCCAGTCATCAACATCTTGATACGTTTCTGGAAAATAAAATACCAAAATAAAATAGAGTTTTGAAAACATCATTCTGTCCTATAGCTAAATGGCTCAAATCAAAAATAATTTAATATCCCGGGGCCTTATTCTTGAAAACTTAACTTAAGATGATTTTAGTGTTCCAGTCATCTGATTGGTTAATGACTAACATTGATTTTAAATTCATTTTTATTATCCAATCAGATTGCTGTATTTCTTAAAATCCTGATTTTATTTAAGTTAAATTTTGGGGAATAAGGCCCCTGATCAAATTGTTGCAAGTGACGACAGCTTGTAATATCGCAGCAAAAATTGTATATCGCAGCAAAAATTTCAATTATCAATAAATAAGAACTGACCTCTTCTTCAGCTTGTAAGTCTTCTTCTGTTTCCGTCTCTTTCCCGCCTAAACTAGCAGCTACAGCTTTCTTCTTAGCAGACGCATCGCTCTCCTACAATATCAAAATTATTGTTTGGTTGATGGTTTCACAAATTGTTTCTATGTAGGAATTGGAATAACCTCTGAAATCTATTGTTTATAGCCGCGTTATACACCCGACTGCGACCATTTGCCATCTTACAGCAACTAAAATGTATCACGTCGCCGTCACACGTAACAAATACACAAACCTTGCCGTCTTTGGGTGTCTTGCTGAAACCATAGCGTCGACCATATTCTAATAATGTAGAATGGACTCGCGTTTCTTCATCTTCCACCTGACTACTGGCGTTACGTCGGAATTTTCTCTGAGGTTTGTATGCATCCTACAAAACACAATACTGAAATGGAGGCTTATGTCCTACTGGTCTGTACATTATGACCATGACCTTCAGCTCTGTATATTTCTACTCTCTTTCGATTTTCAACTGTAGAGAGATTTTTAGTATGCACAGCTTAACATGACTTTAGTTTATTGTCCCAGCTGAGTAATTTGACACATTTCCCTTGCCATGTCAGAGAATATTTCATTAAATATGTCCAAATTTTAAATCTTAACTCTTTTTGTCTGACAAATGTTTTTTTCCCTGCAAAGAGAGAAAAATGGATTTTTTTTAATCACGGGCACAGAAAACAAAATGGCTACCTTTGCCGTCTGCACAGCTTCTATAGATTTTTCTTTACCCTCTAAAAACAACTCATCCTAAAAGGAAAAGAAAGACAGGGGTAAACCAAAGATATGCATAGATGGGGGAGGGGTTGAGTTGAAGCTGTCACGGTTGTGGTGTTACTGAATAAGGAAAGATTTGTAGTTCGGGGAGATAAAGGGAGGGGGGCTGGCGAATGGTGATATGAATTGTGGTAATTCCATCCTATCCTGTTTGATCATTGCCTAACTATTCAAAGTTTACAATTTTCGTTCCTAAAAAAAATTCCCTGATGAGATATTCAAGGACTTATCAATTCTGTGCAATCTCACCTAGACAGATATAAACAAGACAAGGCCGTCAGATAAGATAGTCTAAATACATGTTGTAAACAGTCACGTTTTATTTTTATCACTGATCAACTCATTGACCACATTTTTAATTTACTATCAGATTCAAATTTCTAGATCAAAGTCACTTATAAATAATTCAGGTACCTTTTTTTGTTTTTCTGTGTAATCTAACATGTTTTCTGCTTCAGTCCTGTTCTAATGACCTTAATTTTAACGAATTAGGCGCTAGCAAAACCCTAAGAGGCTGTAATGTTGATCTACTTTTGGTTTCATTTGAAGGACCTTCTAATGAGAACAGTTAATTAAGATAACCCTGTTATACTTGCTTAATTGAATTGGATTTTGGATAAACATGTCTGAAACATATCGGTCAACTTGTAAACAACTCCATCACTACCACGACACATTATTATCTGTCCAATGACGCAGCAGTAACATCGCAAGATAAGATAACCCCGTAATTCTATTATGCTCACGATTTAACATTATCTACATGTCACATCCTTTGACGGCCATTTTGAATATCACACGAACATGATGAATAAAATGTTTTGAAAATTTTAAATTTTGATGTACTTTGACCTTTTGATCAAGTTTTGATATACTTAGATCACCCTGACTGACATGTAAACAATAAACACTTCAAAAATCATGAGATAATGTTTTTTTTGAAGGACATGTCTAAATATTTCGTTCTCCTTTTTGCCTCTTATTCATTAAAGCAAACAACACCATGCAGTGCTCAATGACATGATTTTACCATGCAATCTCAGCTTATAGTCGAAACAACTAAACATTTTTCCATGTCAGTCTCTACAATCTGCATGTGACGGGGCCGTCTGGGGGGAAAAAAGACCTGAACCAAAGATACAAATACAAGAAGAAAAAAAAAATTAATAATTTAAATAAAATAAGAAAAAAAAAAGGGTAAAAAAATAAAACAAATAATAATAAATAAAAAAAATAAATAAATAAAAAAATAAATAAACTTATAAATAAATAAAAAAAATAATAATAAATAAACAAAAAAATAAATAAACAAAAACAAAAATAAAATAAAATGAAAAAAAAAAAATAAATAAAAAAATAAATAAATAAATAAACAAATAAATTTATAAATAAATAAATAAAAAATAAATAAATAAAAAAAAATATAAATAAACAAATAAATTTATAAATAAATAAAAAAATAAATAAATAAAAAACAAAAAAAGAAGGAATAATAATACCTCTGGAGTTTTATGGTGTTTATTAAACTGAGAGACTGAGAAAGCTCGGATATAATCTCCCATTTCTTCTCGTGTTTCTATAGCTCTCTTTACCAGCCACTGAAAATAGAACATTTCAAATTTACAGACATCATAATGGGAAGTGGTTGACTCATGGAATCACCTTGATCCTATAGCCACAGGAAAAAGTTTCAAAGTTCCCAAAACCAGACACCCAAGACAATGATAATGCTGTGTCAATTCTTTTAAGTACTGGCCATGGAATCAGAATTATTTTCAACATTTAAAGCTTGTGGATCTAACAGTCATCAAAAATAAACACCAAATTACGTTTTGTTTCAAATTTGCACATCCTTGTCAGAAGGGGCCTACAGTTGTCACCAGGCCAACTCTCAATGGCATAGGTTCTGGATTCAGAATTTTTTACCTTGGAGTTGATTGGAATCTAATACCCATAGCAGATGACAATCATACTAGCTAGACTATTTGAGTGCGCTAATTGAATTTTGCATCAAATTTTCAAAGCTATCGAGCCACCAGTTCGTAATATAAGATCTGTTACCAATTTTCATTGTGACACTGTTCAAATTTTCCAAATTTAGTATTGAAAAAAATGAATTACCTGAACAACTGGAAAAATGTGTATAAAATCTAGACCTTGAATTTGATGAGGCTCAATTCTCTGTGGACATTTCATCTTCGGTAAAACAGCAACAATTTTCTCAGTTAAAGCACTAGAATAATACATTAAAAACTGTGAATTTTCCTATTTAAAATTGTGAATTCAGTTTTCTCAAGTTCCCCATTTTCAGGGGTTGATTCGAGTCTTTAATGTATGTAGATAGTCCTCAGAAATGGTAGAAATATTTCAAGAAAAGACAAGCCGTCATTTAACCTTCCAACACAGATAATTCTAGACATACATGGATTTGAAGGCATAAATTTTGAAGGTGAGCTGTGAACACTTTTACCGTACTGATAAACTTGGCTAAAATATACACTTCAGCTTTTGGACTATTAGAAAGATATTCCATAATATACAAAGTAAATTGGTGTATACCCTTGCTTTAACATCAAGAAGTTTGTCTGAATCAAGGATCCGTTCGTGCTCAGGTTCAGGAATCTTAAGTAATGCCAAGAGGTTTAAGCAAACGACAAGATGGAAGAATACAGACTTTTTTGTGTTCAAAGCAGAAACTTTTCCAGATTCAGATGACAAAATCCGAAGACTTACATTTTTTGTCCGATGGAAGAATTTTCTTGGAAGAGTAAATCAACGTCTACATCAAAATTACAAGTTGTTATACACCATGTCATACCACCAACAACCTGCCAATACATCGATTGATATGTGTGCAATGAGAGAAATTTTCAAAAGGATTGCTCTGGAATCTTTAAAATACATAGCCTGTAGTACATCAGGCCTCTTTTTATTGACCGAGCTCCTGACTTGCAGGTGCAAACCAGGTTGACAGTTCAAATGAAATGAAATGAAATGAATGGAGTTTTACGTCCTACTTTTCTCTACCATGTGGGCTAATGAAGACGGGCAACGCCATGCAGGGTGCAATGAGGGAAATTTTGCCATTACAGCGGCATTAGCCTGCTCTTTATCGATTTCCAACTGTCGAGGGATCTTTAATGTGCACAGCCTGTAGCACACGGGGCCTCGGTTTATTGTCCCATCCGAATGACTAGACGCTTTTTCCATGTCAGCACCTCTTACCTGCATCACTGACAGGGGGAAACCGGGTTGAAAAATCCGAAGGTATTATCTCGATCTAATGTAATCAAAATAGCGGTGTTTCATTGGTTGTCAGCGGAGACAGCCATATTGCCCAATCGCCGATTTGAATTTCGCATTTGTGGACCACTGCTTATCTAAACCAAATTGCACCAAATCGTACTACCTAATCGAATCGGCCCATAAAAACGCCTCAGACCTCTAGGATAGCAATTAAAAGTACCTTATATTTACCTGACAAATTAACTATTTAGGGGGAAACTAGATTGGCCAATCAATTCGGAACTGTGCTATAGTACACAAATAACTTATATCTTATAATAATAGAAACCAACCTTATCAAAGGGAGATAAGCCTTTAATCCTCGCTCTAAAATATCCTGCAGCCAATAAGAGATTGATGGTTTCTTGTAGTTTAACATTCTGTTCTTCATCTTCTCGAGTTTCAACCTGAAATCAAATTTCTCTTGCTACACTTAGTATCGAAATTGATCTTTGGATTGTGTCCAGTCCAATTTGACTGACTTGCACTGCTGCAAATTAATGTGGGCTTGTATGTTTAGATATTTTGTTTCTAATTTTTGATGTTGGTGACTCCACTTGCCATCAAAGATCAGAAGACATGTTGTTCTCCATTGCATACTTCTATTAATACAATACTCAATCAATCAAATGTTCTGTGAAAATGTGTCAAATACTGGAATATTCATAGATTGTCTTGCCTTTCCTACCCAGTCCTAAACTATACTTTTGGTTGCTTGATATAGGCTATGTGTTATGACAACTTTTGATGCTCTTGAGAAAATTTTGAAAGAACATGATTTCAGAAAGAAGTTCACCAGATCAAACATTGCAAGTTTTATGGTAAGAAATATATATTTGCATTTTCATCAGATTGTGAAAGCACTTGTGTCATGCATTGTCAGAGGAATTTCTGTTTTGAATTGTGTTCAATTGACTATTAATTTATTAACCTGATTAGATCAAAAGTATCAACCCTTACCAATTAAGAATATTGTAATAAGTGTTTTGACTTGCCTTGTCCCAATATTAATGTAGGCATCTGATTAATACTAGCATGTGAGTTTTAAGTTTGTTACTTTGGGGGGGGGGGTTTGAATAATTTTTCACTTATTATTTATGTTTTCATGAAAGTTACACTATCTCTCTAAGTAATATTTTGGGAAAAAGTTGACTGAACGATATGAATAGGGAAATACCTCTACTTCTCTCCCATCAGCATCAACTTGAGTTGTAGGAAGCCTGGAAGACGATATTCCAGCAAACACACTCCCACTTGTCGCAGCCATGTTTAGGTCATGTGACTTTCTATAAATGACCCGGAAGTTTATCTTTTTTACGTTTAACCTCTGACCGCATGTTAACCTGGGGTCACGACCTACTTTTAGTTCTTGATTATCCAGCTCAGACAGCTGATTCAAAAGTTTTGGAAATTCGTATAGCGAATTTAGTCTGGTTGAGCGAAAATGTACCGCGGGAGAAAACGCGTGGTGACGTTATGGTTTCTGATTGGTTGGTTTCTATCAGCCGAGGTGAAGTCGTCGGATGACATAAACAGGCAATTGTTAACCGGGATAAATTTCTTACGATTCGTCTGATCAGATTTGTTACGTTTAGCCGAGAAAGATAGAACGATTTGCTCATATTGAACATTCCATTTAGAATTTGTAAGTATTACATTTTTAAACCTTTTTTTTTTTATATGCTCTCTTGTTTTACTTTTTGGAAAGACGATTTGAAAAGGGAAAATGAAAGTTGGAGATTGGACTTTGGACTTTACAAAGTCAAAACAAGACATGCATTGCTGGAATGTCAAGAGAATTACATATCTAAATATGTTTGTGTCTTATCTTTCAAGATTTATATTCTGTCTAGATTGCAAGATCACATTTTACTCTCATGAATGAAGGATTGCCTTTGAGTTTGATTTTTATTTAGGCTAGATCTTGGCATCTATCCTGGCCTTAAATTTTTTAAAGAAAAGTCAAAGAGTAAAGAGTTGTCAACTCAAACATCAACTGATCAAAAATATGTTCAAATTTCAGTATGGTCTATTATAGTCTATGTGCCATGGACAGTAGATCTAGTAGGCTAGGTCATACAAAATATTTTATTTTAGCCAGTGCTAATGAATTGACATTGTCAAGACATGGACTCAGCTAGGCTTAGTAGCCTGCTCACTGCTAACAAAATTTTGGATATAAAATCCTCTTTAGGTGATCAATCCAGCTAGTTTTAGAAGTGTGGAGTTATTATGAGCAAAGTAAGCTATAGGTGTCTTTATTATTACTATTCATAACATTTTCAAATCATTTTTTTCAGTTCTAGAACTTTAGTGTATTAAAGCCGCTGTAGAATGGCCAGTTGTCAAGCCTTGTTTCTACGTGGTACTGTGTTGTTTACAGTTGGAGTGTTTTTTGCCCTTGTTTTAAATTTACTGCAAGTTCAAAGACATGTGACCGTGTTTCCCCCAGAAGTTTTAGCCAGTATATTTTCTTCAGCTTGGTGGATTCCACCTAGTTGTGGCACTGCTGCTGGTAAGTTCACTTTTTACTTTTTATTGTTGACCCTATGCAACATAAATTTAGTACCTGGTATTGTTTAGATCAATCTGACCACAGAAAACAAGCTAGTTAAACACAATATTTTGTATATATATTGAAATTTGATGCAAATAAATTTTAAGCAAATGTAACAGCTGTTGAATAACAATTAAAGATTTTAATCTCTGCTGAAAATACTGTGTTACTGTATTGATTCTGAATTCTTTTTAATTACATTGGCATTATTTATTACTCTATTCAGCAATCCTTTTGCACATTGCTTGATACTATGAAAAACTACTGTATTTAAAGATGGGTTTCCTTAATTTTTAGTGTCAAATTAAGCATACTAAATGATTAATTGGTGTTTCTAATGAATTATCATGTATTCTTAATCATATCATTATGTTCTTATTACATATAATTAAGAGTTTTAATTAATCATAAATGTCCATGTATGTACAATCTGGATAAACAAAATAAGACTTTTTGACCTTTCTTGATCGGTCACTCATTGGAATTCTGCTGGTAATTCTCCTCTAATTTAGCTAATTATGAATTAATTATGGACATGTGAGACAAACTGGAATTTTTCCAAGTCATTAGAACGCCTCACAAATGAAAATAAGGGAACCCATCTTTAAAGCTGTCGTATATTTTCTATTACAGCTGTAATAGGTCTCCTGTATCCATGCCTAGATACTAAACTAGGTGAAACACAGTATTATAAACGAGAATGGTCTAGTGTTATGAGATGTGTGGCTGTATTTGTTGGTATCAACCATGCTAGTGCTGTATCCTTTAAATCATGAATTAATGACTTGAAACTGGGGTTAAAATTAATGGAGTGGCTTTGGCTACTTCCCTGGAACCGCGGTGGCTCAGTGAGTTAGACGCTTGCTCGCTAACCTGAAGGTCCAGGGTTCAATCCCGGCATAGGTCAGCATAATACCTTTGGATTTTTCAACCCGGTTTCCCCCTGTCAGTGATGCAGGTAAGAGGGGCTGACATGGAAAAAGCGTCTAGTCGTTCGGATGGGACAATAAACTGAGGCCCCGTGTGCTACAGGCTGTGCACATTAAAGATCCCTCGACAGTTGGAAATCGAAAAAGAGCAGGCTAATGCCGCTGTCCTGGCAAAATTTCCCTCATGCCACCCTGCATAAGTACCGTTCAGGATTTTGTAAGACTCTCTCATTTCCTCATTTTTTGACTCAAGGTTCTTAGAATTTATATTTTCCATAAGGTAATCTCTCATCGAAAAGAGCATTTGATTGGTTAAATATCAAATGATCTAGAACAAGAAATCCATTACAATATTGTCAGATCATGGATGGCTTGTGAAATTGCCGGCTGAAAAAACAGGAATAAACCTTGATCTGATTGCTTTGAAAAAGCTTAAGCTCCAGTCAAACCTTTATAGAGTATTTAACCTTAAAGATGGGTTTCCTTATTTTTTAATGTCAAATTAAGCAAACAATTTGATTAATTGGTGTTTCTAATTAGCATGTATTCTTAATCATATCATTTTGTTCTTATTGCATATAATAAAAGTTCTAACCAATCATAAATGCTCATGTATGAACAGACTGGATAAACAAAAAAAGAATTTTTAACCTTTCTTGATAGGTCATTCATTGGAATTCTGCTGGTAATTCTCTTCTATTTTAGCTAATTATGAATTAATTATGGACATGTGAGACAAACTGGTATTTTTCCAAGTCATTAGAAGACCTCTACTTTCTATTCATATAAGTATTAGCATTTTCATTTTCATTTTCATAAATGAAAATAAGGGAACCCATCTTTAAATACCTTCTCCTTTTGGAGAATTTCTGAACAAAGAAGTAGAGTAACAAAAGGGATATAAAATAAAGATGAGGAAATATTTTGCGTTTAGGTCACAATATACTTTCTGCTCTGTACAAGTGTTTCTCCAATAAAATTTTGTTGACTTGAAATTTATTAGGGTCACCCTGACACAGGCTATTATGTTGCAAATCAGTGTACAGTAAACTTGACATGGTTGATAAATTATTTTCTTTGATGATTCACTTTAAATATAAATCTTATGTCAGAGACTTAAAGGGCTAGTAGTCTAAATATTTACTTTAACAGCTGATAGAGCTCAATTTCAGCTATCTGTTTAGTGGTGTAAATATTTACTTTAACAGCTGATAGAGCTCAATTTCCAACTATTGATATAGTAGTCAAATATTTACTTTAACAGCTGATAGAGCTCAATTTCAAACTATTGATATAGTAGTCTAAATATTTACTTTAACGGCTGATAGAGCTCAATTTCCTACTATTGATATAGTAGTCTAAATATTTACTTTAACGGCTGATAGAGCTTAATTTCCAACTAATGATATAGTAGTCTTAATTTTTACTTTAACAACTGATAGAGCTTAATTTCAGCTCTCTGTTTAGTGGTGTAAATAAGCTTATATTGACTTTACAAGCTGACAAAGCTTAATTAAGCATCTTAATATTTACTAAACCAACTGACAGCTCAATTTCAGCAATCTGTATCTTAATATTTACTAAACCAACTGACAGCTCAATTTCAGCTACCTGTATCTTAATATGTACTAAACCAACTGACAGCTCAATTTCAGCTATCTGTATCTTAATATTTACTAAACCAACTGACAGCTCAATTTCAGCAATCTGTATCTTAATATTTATTAAACCAACTGACAGCTCAATTTCAGCAATCTGTATCTTAATATTTACTAAACCAACTGACAGCTCAATTTCAGCAATCTGAATCTTAATATTTACAAAATCAACTGACAGCTCAATTTCAGCAATCTGTATCTTAATATTTACTAAACCAACTGACAGCTCAATTTCAGCAATCTGTATCTTAATATTTACTAAACCAACTGACAGCTCAATTTCAGCAATCTCTATCTTAATATTTACTAAACCAACTGACAGCTCAATTTCAGCTATCTGTATCTTAATATTTACTAAACCAACTGACAGCTCAATTTCAGCAATCTGTATCTTAATATTTACTAAACCAACTGACAGCTCAATTTCAGCAATCTGTATCTTAATATTTACAAAATCAACTGACAGCTCAATTTCAGCAATCTGTATCTTAATATTTACTAAACCAACTGACAGCTCAATTTCAGCAATCTGTATCTTAATATTTACTAAACCAACTGACAGCTCAATTTCAGCTATCTTTATAGGTGTCAAAATATTTGATTGACTGATAGGAGCTTAATTTCAAGAGCTAATTTCTCATTTGATAATTGATATTTTGTAATGTTTTTTGAGAGGATTTATAACATAATTTTTTAAGCCAAAATCTTTTGTCTGTGGCCCATTAATTAGGGGCATGAGAAAACAGACCTGGCATGTATCAAGCTAATCCTATTTCCAGAAATTTCCTTAACCCTGCACTAGAAAATTGATTTTGCTAATAACATGCAGCTATCAGTAACATTAGCAGCTATGTCAATTGGGTTGTGGTGGTTGTTTGATAGATCTAGGAGTGGCTTTGGTCTTGGTGTTGGTATAGCAGTTCTTGCCACCTTCGTTACTCAGTTACTGGTCTACCATGGTGTTTATAGGTAAGAATTTCTTTGCTTTAGGCTACTTCTTCAGTGAGAATGGAATCCAGGATGGCCAAAAGTTTCTCTTTTTAGTGGAGCTGAAAAGTGGCTCAAATCTGTTAAGTGGGGCGAAGGAGAGTCTAAGCTCTGTTAAGAGAAGGGGCTCAGAGACAATCTATGAAGAAGAGCCGGTGTGGCTCAGTGAGCCAAAGTAATGAAAAAAGGTTCCTAATTGCACTAAGCACAATACAGCTGGTGCCAAGCTGAAAATACAATTCCATTTCTTCTAAATGTTGAGTATTTTTTTTAAAAAAGAACTTGTGGAATTTCAGGTATACAGAGCCAGACTTCTTGTTTGTTAGATCTTGGTTACCATGCATATTTTTCTCTGGTGGTGTTACCATGGGTAATATTGGAAGACAACTTGCTATGGTAGGTCAACAATATTCACTGCGTCTTCATATTATAGAATATTCTCATTGTAAATTTCTCACTCCTGTTGAGTAAGTTAACTACACTGTGGAGGATTGTTTATCCAAAACAAGTGTCAAAACATGGGATGAGCTTTCAGAGGAAGAAGTGTCATTCATTCATTCATTCATTCATTCATTGTTTTTGTAGTATGATGAAGTTGATACTGGGAATGCTAAAGAAAAGAATGATTGAAAAAGGATAGAGAGAAGAAAGGATGAACAAAGAGGAATAAATCTGTTAAATTATTGTTGGTTTGGATAAATTTGGATCTCATTACCTCAGTTAACTTTCTTGATCATCATGTCTCATATCATACTGGATGACCACATCTACTCATACCTTTGACTGGAAGGTTATGTCTACTCATATGATTTACTGGAAAGTTTCTTATCATCCTGAATGGACTATCTTTTGATTCAAGAACTCTGCTTACTACTACTTCATTGGACTGGATGATCAAATCTATTGGTAAATCCCAAGGCAAGATGAAGTCTAATTACTGGAAGTCTTCATCTTTACTGGGCATCCATGTCTACTTTTTCATCATCATAGTGGACAAAATCTGCATACTTCTGAAAGAAGCCTACTTCTAGACTGTCTATCTGTACATTTTACTGGATCATAAAGTCTACTCGTAATCTATCCTGGAAGATAAAGCCTATACTATTCATAAATTCTCCATAAATCATTATTGGAAGAAGTCAACTCTAGAAGCCAAAGAAGAAGTTAACGTCTACATCATACCTCATTATTTTTATCAAAAGATGCAATATTGTCAAGTCACATTAATTCCAATGTTACTGAAGTGAAAATGGAGATCAGTTTGATGAGAAAAAGACTCAAATATTAGAAGAGATAGGACTCATTTTTATATATTTCATGTTCTGTGAAATCAGTTTTTGCTGCGAGATACTCGGAATGTGTTGTCAAGGAATTCCACCATTTTGAATACTCTGGAGTTAAAGTATTTCCAAAAGTGACAATTTTGAACTAATGTACTAAGTACATCTTTTTTGCAAATGCAAATCTACCCAAATGAGAGGTAGAAATTTGGTATGAATCTGAAACAATTGTTTTGAATAGAAAGCAAGTGTGTGTTTATGCTGGGTGCAAGACAAAGCTTAGCTTTGGGTTTTTTTTAATGAAATAATTTTGATAGTTATTTGATTGCTATAGGGCAAACTATATTATGTGCCCTTTGCACCAGGCATCTGTCTTGATATGTAAAGAATTTTGTTAGATATGCCAAAATATAGCTGTTCCCTTGGTGTAGAGTTCAAGCAGATATCTCACAGGCTGAAACCCACCAACCGGAAGTAGATACTTTGAAACGATGGGTGTAAATTTTTTTAGTATTTTTATTGAACAATAGTTAGATTGGTATGAAGAAGAACACTGAAGGAGATATAAAATAGGTCTTGTGTGATGGGAAAATATTCAATGAAACGGTTTATATAAGGTTGGGATCATGTTTCATTACGGTAAATGGTAGAAAATGGTCTGAAGCTGAGGTGGTCGTGATAAGTGTTAGCTACATTCTCATATATATACTATTATAGAAAGAGTCGTCTATTGATAGAAACAGATGCCTGTGAGATATCTGCCAACAAGAAAAATTAGGTATATTCTCCTCTAATTATTGGCTTTACCAGTTGATAGATCTTGAAGGTATTCTAAAGTGTTTTTCCAGCCTTTGTATGTGGTGTATCAGGATAAGTATGAATTAAAATCAGAATGAAGCTATAAGTGTCCCTGATACACATACAAAGACATGAAAAGCAAGGGTTTCAATGGAAGCTACAGGTGTCCAACACCAACAAAGGCTACAAAACCTCTTTTTAATCAGCTAATTTTCAGCTACTCTTCTTAATTTACTAAAAAAAAATATTAGCTTCAGTTTTTTAGGGCTGGTAAATCAAATATTTAGAAGACTACATGCCTTTAAGGTACCATATTTTAGAGATAATTCCATGTGTGAAAATAGTCAAAAAGAGGGTGCTATATAAGCCTAAATGTACATAAATAGTATAAATGAAAATGGAAAAATGGTTACCCTAATTATCTTTATGAGAGTGAGTGGATCTGAATGTGGCTTCCCTATTGTCCTAAATGCATATAAACTGTATAAATGGAATTTGGGTTTGCTCTATATTCTAAATGTTCAAAAACTGAATGAATGGAAGGTGTAAGTGGTTACTCTATTATCTTAATGAGAGTGAGTGAATCTGAATGTGGCTTCCCTATTGTCCTAAATGCATATAAACTGTATAAATGGAATGTGAATTTGGGTTTGCCCTATATTCTAAATGTTCAAAAACTGAATGAATGGAAGGTGTAAGTGGTTACTCTATTATCTTAATGAGAGTGAGTGGATCTGAATGTGGCTTCCCTATTGTCCTAAATGCATATAAACTGTATAAATGGAATGTGAATTTGGGTTTGCTCTATATTCTAAATGTTCAAAAATTGAATGAATGGAAGGTGTAAGTGGTTACTCTATTATTCCAAGTGTATATAGAAGAATAAATGGATGAAGAATGAATGAATGAATGAAAATTGGGAAGTTTTATGCAAGTGTTTTTTTGTTTCAATATTTTGGGATATGATATATATATATATCTATCTTCGGCGAAGAAATTCTAAAGACATAATGTTTTGTTCATAGAGTTATTGTTTTATTCATATTTTTATTTTTGGTTCAGATGAAGCTCATAGGATATATCTGAGCATTTTTATGACTTAAGCTAAGGTTCCATATACGCGTCATGCGTTAAAAATCGAAATGGTTGGTTTGAGAGGGTGTGATTCTATATATATGAAAGTGGTATCAGTCAAATGGTCTCCGTCACGCGTCAAAAAAAAAAATCGCCGAGTGTAGCAATTTGATGCCTTTCCATGCGTGATCTCCCAAATGTGACGGATTTTGTGGGGTTTTTATGCACCAAAGCATCCATCTGTCTAGAAGTCTGTGCATCAAAAGAAAGATAACGCATACGTTTAATGCACATATGGAATCATATTTGACGAATGACGGATCCGCAAGAGCCAATTATGTCCGCATCTGCATGACACGTATATGGAATCCTTAAGGACATGAAATTTGATAAGATCTTATCAGTAAGCTTATATATGCCAAGATTAATTTTTGTAGATTGCCACAATTCTCTTTATAAGATGGATTAAGCCTGTTACTAGTTTTATTTTGGTTGAACTGTATTGTTACTATTTATAACTTGTACATAGAAATGGCAGAATAAAAAAAAAGAAGAGAAATCCAATAAAAAAAAAAATTAATATATGATTTGTATTTTCTAACTTTCTTCGTAATGGTATTTGTCAGTGGAGACCATGGTTGGTGTGATAGTTTCTAACATTTAAGCTTAAAGATGGGTTCCCTTATTTTTTAGTGTCAAATTAAGTAAATTTTTTGAATAATAGGTGTTTCTAATGAATTATCATGTATTCTTTATCATATCATTTTGTTCTTTTATGGCATTTAATTTAAGTTTTAACCAATCATAAATGTCCATGTATGTACAGTCTGGATAAACAAAAAAGACTTTTTGACCTTTTTTGATCGGTCACTCATTGGAATTCTGCTGGTAATTCTCTTCTAATTTAGCTAATTATGAATTAATTATGGACATGTGAGACAAACTGGTATTTTTCCAAGTCATTAGAACACCTCTACTTTCTATTCATATAAGTTTTAGCATAAATGAAAATGAGGGAAACTATCTTTAAATGTGCCAATAACAGACAAGACTGTAAAATTCAGTCAAATAATTCTACAGCTCTAGTCAGATATGAATGACAATTAATGTCGGATCATCACTCAAGAGCTATAGTCATACATGACTTGCAATTAATTCAAACCACCCTTTGAAATAGGCTTGTCTTTAATTCAGCTCAGTGTCTGATAAACAGAATCAATGACAAGCCTAATTCAGCTCATTGTCTGATAAACAGAATCAATGACAAGCCTAATTCAGCTCAGTGTCTGATAAACAGAATCAATGACAAGCCTAATTCAGCTCCATGTCTGATTAACAGAATCAATGACAAGCCTAATTCAGCTCAGTGTCTGATAACCAGAATCAATGACATGCCTAATTCAGCTCCATGTCTGATTAACAGAATCAATGACAAGCCTAATTCAGCTCATTGTCTGATAACCAGAATCAATGACAAGCCTAATTCAGCTCAGTGTCTGATTAACAGAATCAATGACAAGCCTAATTCAAAGGGTAGTTGTACTTAAAAAAAGCGATTTGCCTTGCATTAAGGGAGACTTTATGTGACGTTTGTTATCTTGATTCTTATTGTGCCATAGGCTCATTGTGTTTATCTGAATGATCTACAAAATTCATGTCGGGAGCCCCAAAACAAAAAGACAAAATCTTCAATAATAATATGTTCTCTTTGAATATTTATAATACAATAATAAAAAGACAAAAAAAAGCTAAATAAGGCAAAATTATTGACATTTTTCTACAATTTGTAATTTCCTGTACATAAGAATTCATACATACAATAATAACAAGGAGTTATTCCCCTTTAGCTAAGATATAGACCTTAAACTCTATATTATATCCTAAATATTAATTTATATCTCTATAACAAGCCATATAGACCTAATAGAACTAGAACTCTCCCCTATAAATGGATATAGATCTCATGGGTCTTATATCCCTCTTTAGAGTCAAATATAGCATTCACATTTCTTATACTTTGGGTCTATATCCTTAGAATATGTTCAGGGTTTATATCCTCATTATAAGATAAATCTAAAATCAAACACTATTAATACTTCAATATTCATCTCATTAAGCTCAATTACAATTTTGGGGTTTAACTAATTTTAACTAATTATCCTAAACATGGGCCTATTCTGGAAATGGTCAATATGAGTATATATTCATCAGTGAACTTACCTGGTGTCATAAAGTTACAACAGAATCCCTGTAAAATCTAGAAAATTGGAAAATTCAAAAAACTAAGTAATTATTGAAAAATAATAGTTTATTGAATATTTATGGATAATTATTAAGTTTTTTTGGATTTATCAGATTATATAAGGATCCTGTTATGTTATTTATGACACCAGGTATATCTACTGATGAATATATGCTCTTATTGGCCAAGTTTAAAATTCTTAAATTTCATGTTAATTCTAAGACGTAGTATCCCTTTAACACAAGCGCTATTCTAAAAGTTTCTTACCATAGCTAACAGTCTATATCTCAGAGGTTTTCTAAAAATGTGTATCAGGTATAATGATAGCATCAATTTGCAACATCCCAATTTTCAATCAGACATCTGTGCTTCCTGCAATTCCACTACAACTAAGTGTTTGATGATGGAACTATTCATATATAAGCCACAAAGCAGTTTTGAATAAATAATCAAATATAATTGATATACCTATTATTAGTTTATATCTCAATGACTGGTGATAGCTATGAACCACACAACTCTCCATTGTGACTCAGGGTTTCTTACAAATAAAATTCACTGTATGTTAAGAAATATAAAAAAAAGTTAAGAATTTATTACAAAATTGCAACCAATCTTGCAAAAATAGCACATTATCAAACTAAAATGATCTAAACAAAGTGATAATTTTGCTGAATTTGTTGCTCCATATATAATAACCATAATCCAGAATTTTCAAAGGATAAAAAATCCATAAATTCTGATACAAGGCAAAACA